GTCAAAGGGGGCATGTGCCACCAGCCCAAAGACAAAGAGGAAGCTTGGAACCCCGCGCAGTGGTCACCACAAATTTTTGAGTGAAGATAAAGGGAGGAGTGACTGTGACCACATGCATGCAGATATTCGTGACAATCACGGAAGTCAAGTTAATCTATGAAGTTGTACGTGTCATAGCCGGACTACTGCAGCCGCTGGACCGCACAGGACTGGCGCTCCGCGTGCCTGTGCCATTGTTCGCCATGCTCTTGTCCGCGTGCCTGCGCCATTGTCCGTCTTGCTCTCGTCCGCGTGCCTGCGCCGTCGTCCTTCGTGCTCTTGACCACGTGCCTGCTCTGTTATCCGCCGTGTTATTGGCCGCGTACTCCATGCCGGCAGCCCTCCACGCTCACTCATCGTCAAGGCCGACCAAGCGCGCGTTCAGCCCCCTGTGCGATATGCTGTACCGCTAAGCACCGCTCCTCGTCCGTGCCCCTGTGCCAACCCGGCAACAGCGGATGCTCCAGCATTTCCACGGGTGTCCATAGCTATTGTTATTGAGGGGAACACCATTTCTATCGTGAGAGCGGATTCTAACTCCACCAATGTACCACACCAACTAAGATTCTATCGAATCTGGTAGTAGTTGCCGAGGCAGATATGCTTCCAGCAAGACTACCGCGCAGCAGAAAGCGGGTAGCCCGCACCGGCCATCCAATCAGCGGGGACATCGCGACGAAAACCTGTTTAAGTTTTGGGTAGCACGAACAGTTTTATTGTTGTATGAAATTGAAATATGAAGACAGTATATAGGTTAAATATACATCCCCGTACCCACGCCCAGTGTCTAGGAATTGCCGACTTCGAGTGTAAAGCAACACCCTACGAGGAGAAATTTTTCACCCCCTTTCCCCATATTTTATGTAAATTTTCAGTCCAACCTGATATTGCCCAAACACAGATGCCAAACCCATAGTTCCCTTTCAGAGGTTCTAAGGTGCCATCCAAAACCGAGCTCACTTGAAACCATAAAGCACACACAAGGCTACATAGAACCTGGACACTCATGGCTATATCCTGCCTCACCTACATCTGAATCATGCCTATGTATGCACAGAGCAAGGGCATCAGGTACCTTCAAGCTCGAGAGCGTCAGTGACTCCAGCCACTTGCAGATATCAAGTTTGGTTTATTCACAAAATGCATAACAATCTTCAGCTGTGTGTCAAATGCAAGGTTTTTCACGCATCCTCAGTTTTTGGGGGTCACACCACAACAATGAAAAGCCTGATACAAACACCAGCAAAGCGTGGTAGATAATTTTACCCCACGTATTTCTTTTACCCGAAGCAACTTGACCACTGAACCACCACTACACTAAACACCACTCACCACCAGTCTCAACAGTGGTCACACGCACCACTCCCAAAATGCAGGAGTGAAAAAATTCCGGAATGCCTTCTAAATGCAAACCAAAAGCTAAATATCACAATTTGAACACTGAGTTTCAGAAATTTTTAGTCGAGTTAGTTGACAACAAAATTTGACCAAACAACTCTAGGTCTATCTTTATCTAATTGCTTTCATTTTTGTTGGTCCCATACGATTGTGATACAACTTCATTTTGCCTTCCTTTCTGATCATCGTTATAAACACCATCTATCGCTTAAAATGCTGACCAATTTCTCTGCAAAATGTTCCAACTGCAAACTTGCTTATACTTCATACACAAATTTGATTCCTTCGCCAGCCACCCAAACCTACTTGATATGCACCCAAGAGTAAACACTTCGTAGGAAATGAAGGTAAAAAGAAAGTTCTATGCTAAAAATTGTCCCCTGTACGCAGCATAAAAACCAACAAGGTGAATTTACCTTATGCTGTTGAATGATGCGTCCCTCTAAGCACATCAGACACAACATATAAGATCCCGAGTTTGACACTTCAATACGAATATGGCATCGCCGCTGTTGCGGCACATTCGAAGGTTGTGAAATAGAAGGAGTAAAACTATCGAGTTCCAGTGGCTGTATGGGAAGAAATGTACCTGCAATTTCCTAGAACTGTACATATATTAGCTGGCCCATGCTCAATGTAATGAGCTAAGCAGACTTCCCACGACTTGAAATATCCAATTTTATTTACGCTTTGCCAGCACAAAGGCATGAGCTGATGCAGGCTATTTAAGAAGACTATGCCTTTGTCTTGCCGACATGAGGTACAACCGTAAAATCTCTGTAATATTTTATTTATGTGCTGTTTCAAATTTCAACCTCTCCTTTGCAATTTGCCTTCAGAAACCGGCACTGCAGTGATAACTAAGATAACCTTCATCTAACGTTTGCAGGTGAACGCCGTGTTAGATCTGTCGAACAGCCGGCTTTTGCCGGGTGAGATCACTAGCTGGCTAGGGCGGGCCGGGATACGGAGGACATTTTGCAAGGAAAGTGACGTTTCTGAACCGTCTCCACCGTCTTAATGTCGTGGCCAGCCGGATCTCCGCAGCTGGAGAATGCGGACATCACATACCGTGAACCGTGACAAGGTGTCAGGCCGTGTGACACTGGTCAAAAGGCCTTTCAGCCTGTTTGGTCGAGAGTGACATGTACCCCAACACTACATGGCTTAGGGCTGGGTCACAAGTAAATATTCTTTCACATGATGACATTCCAATTGAATACAAACACTAGTGAAAAACAAATTTGCAGCTGCCGCCAGGACCAGAAAGCAGTTGAGGAGAACTGACCGCATCGTAATCTTCAATATCTCGTTGACCTTTCATTCACTGACCATTGACCATACGTTGACCATACGTTAACCAAGCATTGCTGCGCAGTCGAAACTTATCGCATCATCGCGTAGTTCTTTGTCCATCCGCCGTTGTTCGTGCGGTGGCTACCACATCCCTCTAGGAGATATCTACATGCCATGACACACCGCGACCACAAACGGTGGCGTTAGCGGGCGCGAGCCGGTGACCACAGCCGTGCCAGTGACTGCTCATGCCACGCCGTGCTATGTTCCTTCTTCTCAAGAGCAGGAAACTTGCAAAAGTGCCGGCGCAACTGTTCAATGGCAAATTGTTCATTCATTACCATACCCGGCTCTGCCTACCATTGCGCCACGATTTCCGAACATAGTGACATCCAGGTGTCTACCCTGCCCGTGAGCGACGAACACGACAGGGGAAGCTGGAGAGCGTGTATTGCGTATAGTACGGATAGTTTCATCCTTATATAAAACTGAAAGGTGAAAGCAATAGACAGGTTAAGTCCGAATCTCATGCCCATCTTCAGTGTCCTAGCATCGCCAACTTTACCCGAAGAAACTTGACCACTTCATTGCACCAGTCCCGAAATGTGAGAGTGAAAAATTCAAGAAATGCTTTGTTAATGAAACTTATGAGGTGAATATCACACCTTGAGCACCCGTTTTTGCAGTTTTTAGTCAGTTAACTGATAACAAATTTTGACCAAACATTTTCTGTCTCTATCTTAATCCAATTATTTTGGCTTTTCTTGGTTCCACTCAATTGTAATACAACTTCATTTTTCCTTCTTTTCCGATCATGTTTAAAGACACCATCTATGGCTTCAAGTGCTGATCAATTTCCCTGCAAAATGTTCCAACTGCAAGCTTGCAGATAATTTATACCTATATTGGATAAATTTGTCAGCCGCCTGAACGTCTTTGAGATGCAGAAGATTTGTTGTCTTCAATATCTGTCTTTAATATCTCGTTGACCTTTCTTTCACTGCCATTCATATGCTAACCGAGCATTACCACGCAGGCGAAATTTATCGCATCATCGCGCAGTTCTTTGTCCATTCGCCGTTCTTTGTACAGTAACTAACGCATCACTATAGGGGATATTTGCATGTCATGACATACGGCGGACACAAACGATGCCGTGAGCGAGGGTGAGCCGGCGACCACAGCTGTGCCAGTGAGCGCTCTTGTCACGCCGTGCTATGCTCCTTCTTCTCGAGGACAGGAAAACCGAAAAAAGTGTCGGCAACCGTTCGATAGCAACTTATTCATTCATCATCACACCCGCCCATGTCTACCATTGCGCTACGTTTTCCGAGCCGGTGATGTCTAGGGATCTACCCCGCCCGTGAGCGATGAACACGGCAGGGTAAGCTGTAGAGCGTGTACTGCCGCCACGCAGCGGGATGGCAGCCAGTGTGCACTGCACGCGGCGGATGGCGTTTCGACCTCATTGGGAATACGAGCCAAGTCAAAACTCAAGGCCGACATGTTAAGGGCACGCACAACGTCAGCATTTTCATGGCATCACAAAGCACACGCAATCGGCCATACCCACGCAGTTCGCGTAATTGGCGTGTTTTCCTCTCGTTATTTACTCTCCCCATCTGGCTAAAAGTGATGAAGAATTGACTAAGTGTTTTATCGCATTCGTCCATGTGATGCTTATAGGCACTGTTGGGCCACGCCGTGGCTACGTGTGTTTTAAATATGCGCGGACAATTAGCTATCTTTGCATAATCGTTCCCTAAATTGTGCAGCATCTTCACTAGCCTTTCAGCATCAGTCACAACGTAAAAGGCATCCGTCATCGGCCGCTTCCCTGCGAATCATTGGCTGGTGTTCGATTGCGCGGCCGTGCCGCTCCGACGCCGACCTGAAGGTGGCGCAACCCAGAGCGTCAGCCTGTCGCCTGTACCAGGAAAACCTAGCAACTTGCTAACCGTTCTGCTTCCAACCTGAACATGTTTCTGTGCGTGGTCCGTGCCGCCGTCCCCGCCCCCTTGGAAGCGGCGTTGGGTCGGGCCGGCTCACGTGAGATCGGTGGACCGGCGGCCGGTTGTGGTCGGGTCGCCTGGCTGGACGGGTCGCCCGCTGCAGAGGGCGTTGCGTCAGGTGGGGCAGCGCCGCCGGCGGCAGCGTGACGGCCAACCGCGTCGCCCTCCCACGGCCAAATAAAAGCCCGGCCGCACAGACACCAGGCACCAGTCACTCGCCAGCAGTGGTCTCCATCTTACAACGCCACGGCAAACATGAAGCTGGTGAGTGCGGCCAGGGAGATCGGTGCTTCACATGAGGGATGTCTTTCGTATTCCAGCGGTGTCTGTGCTGTCAGTTGGGGCGCCAGGGAGGGTCTTTTAGATAAGGTCGTTGATCATCTTTTATTTTTTCCGTGTCTTTCCAAGCCAAAGTGTGTTTAGTAAACAGGTGGGTATGCAGCCATTCCGGTGAACCGCAATATTACCATGGCTTGCTTAAATTGGCCGCCATAAAAATCAGGAGCGTAATTTGACGTCCAAAACTAGCTTGGATGGCAGATTGGCACGATACCACTCTTGTCAGAAGAGATCAGAACAGGCGTGCGGACGTAGGCTGCAATTTCAGCAGTCCCTCAATCAGTGTGAAAGGCCACGTCGTCAGTCAATGTGCTGTGAGATGCTGCACATATTCCATAGCTATCCCTTGATCCCTGCATCCACTGATGAGAGAAACTGACCTGACAAAGGCGCTGAACTACGTCTTATCACGGTAAAAAGGTGCGTCGCGATTTCAGCCTCTGCATGCACTGCTGGATCAGCACTCGCCCTGACGTCACTTGGGTGTTTTTCCAGTTGATCGTAGCCTCGCTGGCGGCTCTGGCCTGCGCTGATGGCCCGCGGCCGCAGCCGGCGCCCGCCTCCTACCAGCGGCCAGCGGCCCCGGCACCAGCCTCCTACCAGCAGCCGGCGGCACCGGCCTCCTACCAGCAGCCGGCCGGCTACGGTCAGCCCTTCGCCATCCTCAGCGAGGAGAACGTCCACCCGGGCGACGGCACCTACCAGTTCAGCTTCCAGACCGAGAACGGCATCTCACGTAACGAGAACGGCAGCCCCAAGGCCGGCTACGGCAAATCCGAGTACGGCCAGCCCACCGGCGGCTACGTCCAGCAGGGTGGCTGGAGCTACAGCGACGACTACGGCAACCCCGTCCAGGTGACGTTTGTTGCCGACGAGAACGGCTACCAGCCGTCTAGCGACATCCTGCCGACGCCGGTGCCGACCGAGTACCCGCTGCCGATCGTGCCGCAGGTGTACCAGGGCGAGCAGAGCTATGGCTCTGCCCCAGCACCCGCTCCCGCCCGCTACAGCGCCCCGGCTCCTGCTGCCCGGCAGTACAACGCTCCCGCTCCTGCGGCTCCTGCTCCTGCTCCTCGGCAGTACAACGCTCCCGCTCCTGCTCCTGCTCCCAGGCAGTACAGCGCTCCTGCTCCTGCCCCCAGGCAGTACAATGCTCCTGCTCCGGCTCCTGCTCGTTATAATGCTCCTGCCCCCGCCCGCAACTACTAAAACGGATGGACGGCGAGCGCTGGGAATAGCGCATATGTGTGTGCGAGGCTGTGAGGCTGCATGAGTAATATATTTATCCGTCCGTATTGCTAAGAAATACAGGCGCGTGTAGAATAAACTGTTTTCACCGCACTCTTATGATCATTTGTACTTGAGACAAATGATGTCAACGATGTAAATGGCCAGCAACATGATGGACCGACGAAGCAACCTTTGAACTGAATGGCTCACATTCCCACCAGATCCCTGACCAGGCTTCCAGGACCCCACAGAAGAGGGATCGACAACGCCGGACTGCTAGTCAGGTCGCACGGCACGATCCGGAGCGCCGTGAAGCGTACCTGGTCTTTTGAGAGGTGGTGCCCAAATTGCCGTTTTAGGAGTGCTGTCTCATTGGATTGTTTTTCTTGTGATGAGAATATCTGCACGGCAATTGAAACTTTTCAGATCCAGGAGCTGTCCACACCAATGCACACAAAGTTTGTGTTAGTAGTTACTCAGCAGCTCAAGTGAAAGCGGCTCCGGTCACAATTAACTGCGGTGTGAAGATTTTTGAGTGGGTCAGAAACTACCTCCCCACTCGGCGGGGGGGGGGGAGACATTGGAACATCCCAATGACATGACCGATCCCAAATCGGGATTCACCTAACCAACCCTGAAATTTGGATTTCCCACTGAACTTATGCCAATATATCTTCACGGTCGGACGAAAAGTCACAAAACATATGGAGAATATCATGTGAAATGTGGTGGGGCTAGGGCGTGGTTAGAACACTCCGAGAGCGAAGGGGGTTAGGGTAGGATGGGCTGGGGTGCGGTATCTGGTAATTTCAAGAGGTAGCTTGTGCGGGGAAGGTGGCGTTGTAACGAAGGGCGCGTTGCACAACAATGCCTTTGTGCCGAATTTTCCACTTTTTCTATCACTGTTTCTTAGGGGTCTTTTGGCCCTTCCGGGAAGATTGGAGGGGATCTGGAGTTCTGTGACGCTTTGTCTGGAAACGCGGCTGTTCCTGAGCTGGACAAGCGAATCATCCTGACATGAACACGCGACTCCAAAGTTGGACACGCGACGGCTCCTGTGCTTGGCTTATTGCTACTCCAGCGATGGGCTCAGCGACACTGGACTGAGCTACGCATACGTTTCGTTCTGGCACACTTGATGCAACACGTTTCACCGCTACCGCGATGGCCATTAGTTTTCAAAGTATAATTCTAATTTATATGTGCCTTCCGTGTACGTTGCCATCTCCTTCAAAACGGGTATCTGCGCACAGGTCTATGTAAAAGATACAGTTCAGCATATGACGCATTTTCTGCGATTAAGATCCGAAAGCTGCATTCAGCAGGCAATGTGAATCGTAAACGAAGGTCTAGATATCAGTTGCTAACTACTTATTTTCGTAAACATTTTGTGACAATACAAATTTGCTCAATGAGATATTGAAAAATATGCCACGTTGTTTTGCTGCTTTGCTAAGTGCGCATGTCAGTGACACAGCAGCATTTTTGAACAGCTTATTCTTACTACCCTTGCGTGTACGCAGCATAACAAACAACAACGTAAATTTATTTCATGCTGTTGAATGACACGTCCCTCTAAGGACAGCACACACAACATATAAGATCCCGAGTTTGATACTCTAATACGAATATGGCATTGCGGCTGTTGTGGCCCATGCGAATGTTGTGAAATGGAAAGAGTAAAACTGTCGAGTTCTGATGGCTGTATGGGATGAACTATGTCTGAACTTTCCTAGAACTGTTTATCATTTGTTTCCATGAGCAACGTAATGAGCTAAGTAGACTTTCCACAGCTGGAAATATCCAGATTTCTTTACGCTTTGCCAGTGCAAAGTCATGAGTTCATTTCGTTAGCGAGATGAGATGCAAGCGCGAAATCTCTGTTTCTGTTGTCCATGTGCTGTTTCAAATTTCATCATCAGATCACCACCTCGCCAGGGTGAGCCGGGATCCAGCATGGCATTTTGGAAGAAGCCGACCTTCTAAACCGTCCCCCCCCCCCCCCCGTCTTACGGTCGGAGCCAGGAGGACCTCTGCAGCTGGAGGATGCGGATATCTCATACCGTGTACCCCGACAGGGTGTCAGGCCGTGTGACACCGCTCAGAAGAGCTCAGAGTCGTTCTGCCGTTCGGTCGAGAGTTACATGTATGTCGAACACCATCCACAGTTTCGGACTGGGGCTTTAGTAAATCTCCTTCCACATGATGGCTTTATAACTACACGCGAGCATTACTTGAAAAAATTTTCAGTTGCCACATCGACCAGAAAGCAGTTAAGGAGAAATGACCGCATCGTTATCTTCAAGGTCTTGTTGACTTTTCATACGTTGACAATTCATTATACGTTAACCGAGCATTGCTGCGCAGTCGAAATTTATCGCATCATGGCATAAATCTCTGTCCATCCGCTGTTGTTCGTGCGGTGGCTAACACATCACTATAGAGGATATTTATATGGCATGACACACCAAGACCACAAACGATGCCGTGAGGGAGCGTGAGCCGGCGACCACACCCGTGCCAGTGAGTGCTCATGTCACGCCGTGCTCTGCTCCTTCTTCTCAAGAGCAGGAAAACTTGCAAAGGTACCGGCGACTGTTTAATGGCAACTTATTCCTGCATCATCACACCGGGCCCTCTCTACCATTGCTCACGTTTTCCGAACACTGATATCTAAGTGGCTACCATACCCCTGTGAGTGATGAACACGACAGGGAAGCTTTGGAGCGCGTACGGCCGCCACGGAGCGGGATGTGAGGCCAGTGTGCCGTGTGCACGGCGGATGGCTGTCGGCCTTAATGGGATTACGAGCAAAGCCAACACTCGGGGCTAGGCTGCTAAGACAACACGCACAGTCAGCTTTGTCATGGCAGCACAAGAGACAAGCAATTGACTATACCCTCACAGTTCGCGTAATTGGCGTGTTTTCCTGTCGGTGTTTAGTCTCCCAATCTGGCAAAAAGTTGCGGAAAACTGACCAAGTGTTTTATCGGATTACTCCATGTGATGTTTCTAGGAAATCTCGGCCCACGCTATGGTGACGCTTGTTATTAAAAAACGTACGGACAATGGGTCATTTTTGCATAACAGTTTGAAACATGGTTGAAAATCTTCAACAGCCTTTCAGTACCAGTAGCAACATAAAAGGCATCCGACATCGGCCACTCGTCTATAAATCATTGGCTGGTGCTCGATTGCGTGACCATGTCGCTCCGAAGCCGACCTGAAGGTGACACGGTTTAGCGCGTCAGCCTGCCACTTGTGCTACCAACCTTGCCAACCTGCTTTCTTCTTCTTCTGCTTCCAACCTGAACCTGTCTCTGTGCGTGTTCCGTACCGCCGTCCCCGCCCTCTCGGAAGCAGCGCTGGGTCGGGCCGGCTCACGTGAGATCGGTGGACCGGCAGTCGGTTATGGTCGGGTCGCCTGGCTGGACGGGGGCGCCCACTGCAGAGGGCGTTGCGTCAGGTGGGGCAGCGCCGCCGGAGGCAGCGTGACGGCCAACCGCGTCGCCCTCCCACGGCCAAATAAAAGCCCGGCCGCACAGACACCAGGCACCAGTCACTCGCCAGCAGTGGTGTCCATCTCACAGCGCCACGGAAAACATGAAGCTGGTGAGTGCGGCCAGGGAGATCGGTGCTTGACATGAGGGTTGCCTTTCGTAGTTCAGCGGTGTCTGTACTGCCAGTTGGGGCGCCAGGGAGGGTCCTTTAGATAAGGTCGTTGATCAGCGGTCATTTCTGTACGTAGCAGACGAAGTCAAAGTGCTCTCAGTCTCAGCGCCTCAGTGTTTTTTTATATCCGTCCCAAGAAGTCTACACGGGTAGGTATATAGCCATTTTGGTGAACCGCAAAAGTAATCTAACTGGCTTAAATTGGCCCACTTAAAAACTTAGTATTTCATTTGACATCCAAAACTTTCACATGATAATGCACTGGTCAGAAGAGATCAGAACAGACGTTCGGACGTCAGGCTCCAATTTCAACAGCCCCTGAATCAGTGTGAATCGCCGCGTTGCCAGTCAACGCGCACAGATGCTGCACACATTCCATAGCTATCCCTTGATCCCTGCACCCACGGGCGGAGATCGATAACAAGGAGTGTTCTGGCAAAGGTGCTAAACTGCGTCTGGTCATGGTGAAATCATGCGTCGCAATCTCAACCCTTGTCTGCACCGTTGAGTCGGCATCCCCTCTGGCGTCAGCTGGGTGTGTTTCCAGCTGATCGTAGCCTCGCTGGCGGCTCTGGCCTGCGCTGATGGCCCGCGGCCGCAGCCGGCGCCCGCCTCCTACCAGCGGCCGGCGGCCCCGGCACCAGCCTCCTACCAGCAGCCGGCCGGCTACGGTCAGCCCTTCGCCATCCTCAGCGAGGAGAACGTCCACCCGGGCGACGGCACCTACCAGTTCAGCTTCCAGACCGAGAACGGCATCTCACGTAACGAGAACGGCAGCCCCAAGGCCGGCTACGGCAAATCCGAGTACGGCCAGCCCACCGGCGGCTACGTACAGCAGGGCGGCTGGAGCTACAGCGACGGCTACGGCAACCCCATCCAGGTGACGTTTGTTGCCGACGAAAACGGCTACCAGCCGTCTAGCGACATCCTGCCGACGCCGGTGCCGACCGAGTACCCGCTGCCGGTCGTGCCGCAGGTGTACCAGGGCGAGCAGAGCTATGGCTCTGCCCCAGCCCCCGCTCCCGCCCGCTACAGCGCCCCGGCTCCTGCTGCCCGGCAGTACAACGCTCCCGCTCCTGCGGCTTCCGCTCCTGCTACTCGGCAGTACAACGCTCCCGCTCCTGCTCCTGCTCCCAGGCAGTACAGCGCTCCCGCTCCTGCCCCCAGGCAGTACAATGCTCCTGCTCCGGCTCCCGCTCGTTACAGTGCTCCTGCCCCCGCCCGCAACTACTAAAACGGATGGACGGCGAGCGCTAGACATAGTGTCTACGAGTGTGCAAGGCTGTGAGGCTGCATGAGTGAAATACTTATCCGTCCGTATTGCTAAGAAATACAGGCGCATGTAAAATAAACTGTTGTCATCGCACTCTTATGATCATTTGTAACTGAGCCAAACAATGCCGTCGATGTAAATGGCAGGCGACATGATGGACCGACGAGGCAACCTTTCAACTGAATAGTTCACATCCCCACCAGATCCCTGACCTGGCTGCCAGGACCCCACAAAAGAGGGATCGACAACGCTGGCTGCTAGTCACGTCGCATGGCTGGCCTCGTTGCACAGGTTGTACTTTTAGGGCGCTTGTCTGGCGGAGTCGGGTGTCAGAATGGTAGGCCCCGCAGCACGGGTTGTACTTCCAGAGCGCCTGTCCGGCGGGGTCGGGCGTCAGAATGGTAGGCCCCGCTGCACAGGTTGTACTTCCAGAGCGCTTGTCCGGCGGGGTCGGGCGTCAGAATGGTAGGCCCCGCCGCACAGGTTGTACTTGCAAGGCACCTGTCCGGCGGAGTCGGGCGAGAGGCTCAGTCCGCTGATGTAGAAGTTCACGGTAATGTTGATCTGGCCGCTCGCCTTCTCCAGCGACACCTATTCTAGCAAACGGCATAAGAGTCGCCACTAGGACGTGCGGAAGCGTCTGAGTCGAGAGGCTCTTGATGCAAATCTTGCGCTTCAGATACTTTCGAGCGCGCGGGCTTTTTGTCTCTGTGGAGCGTTTCCGTCTCGGGGAAGACGTCAGAGCAGGCCTGCAAATGCATTGGCCCATCTTGGATGATATCGGAGGACCCATTTTCCAGAATCTGCCAAGCGCCACGGACACGTGCCCCACGCCGTACACTGCAGCGGGGTCTTAAGCTGTCAACAAACAGATCAATGCACTTCCAGTTTAATACACTGCAAGTTCTTCAGACGCAGGAAACGCCTCTAGGCCTCCGTTGAATTATGTCTGGAACTGAAGCCATCGGTCATCGATGTCAGTAGTGGTGGGGTTTGGTCGCCTGGTGACAGGGTTGACGCCCTTATACACAATATTTTTTAACAAAGCTAATGATACAGCAAACTATTTTGCTGCAAACATCGCAAACACAGGACTGTTTCTTGCCGGACGTTCTGTGGCAACCGTGTCCATGCCTGTCGCGTGCCTCAGGATGGTATTTAACCTATCGCCTTTCTGTACTCCAGCTGACGTGCCCCGAGCCTGAAAACTTTCCCACCGGTTAGGCAGGGCATAGGAGACATGTACCACCAGCCCACAGACAAAGAGGAAGCATGAAATACCGCGCAGGGTTTACCACAGACTTGTAAGTGTAGGAAAAGGAAGGAGTAGCTCTAAACACATGCATGGAAATGTTCGTGAGGATGACCCAGGCCAAGTTAATTTGTAAAGTTGTACGTGCCAGTGCCTGGCTACTGCAGCCGCTGGACCGCACCGGACTGACGCTCCGCGTGCCTGTGCCATCGTCCGCCGTGCTCTTGTCCACGAGCCTGCGCCGTTGTCCATCGTGTTATTGGCCACGTGCTCCATACCGGCAGTCTTCCACACTCACTCGTCGCTACGGCCGGCCAAGCGCACGTTCAGCCCCCCGTCCGATATGCTGTACCGCTAAGCAGCGCTCCTCGTCCGTGCCCCTGCGCCAAGCCGGGGACAAAGGATATCCCAGTATTTCCGCGGATCCCCGTAGCCATTCCCTGATCTCCTGAGGAAAGCACCGTTTCTCTCCAAATGGTGGGTTCTAATTCAACCAATGTCCCACACGAACTAAAACCCTATCCAGCCTGTTGGTATTTGCCGAGACAGATATGCTTCGAGCACAACTGCAACGCGGCAACAAGCAGGTTAACCCGCAGTGGCCATCCAATCAGCAGGCGCATCGTGACTAAAATCTATTTTTGTCTTGGGTAACACGGATAGTTCCATTCTTATATAAGAACGGTAAGGTGAAATCAATACGCTGATTAAATGTGCATGCCCATATTCATGCTCAGCGTCCTAGAATCACCGACTGCGTGTTAAAGAGCATCCTATAGGCGGAATTTTCACTCATTTTCCCCAATACTTAATGCGAATTTTTCACTCCTACCTGATATTGCCTAACCACACATACCAAGCCCATGTTTCCCTTTCAAATGTTCTAAGGCGTCATCCAGAACCGAGCTCACTTGAAGCAGTCAAGCATAAACAGGGGTCAACAGAACCTGGACACCCATGGCTATATCTTGTCTCACCTACAGGTGTTTTATGCCTACGTATTTAAAAACCAAGGACACCAGGTACCTTCAAGCCCAAGAGCCTCAGTGACTCCAGCCACTTGCGTGCATTAAGTTTGGGTTATTAATCACATTTATCACAATCATCAGCTATGCGCCAAATGCAAGATTTTCAGGCATCCCAATTTCTTGGGTCACACCACCCGAACACCTCAGGAAAGAAAAACCCGATGCAAACACCAGAACAGGGCAGTAGAGAATTTTTTCCACGTTTTTCTTGTATCCGAAGAAACTTGACCACTAAATTGCACCACTCCCGAAAAGTAGAAGTGAAAAATTAAGAAAACCTTCTCAGTGAACTCTAACAGCTGAATTTCACAATTTGAGCACTCCTTTTCACAATTTTTTGGTCAAACTAATTTATAACAAAATTTGACCGAACATTTTTGACGAACACCGAACAAATTTGCCTGCAAACACGCTCTTGTCACAACGCTCCCGAAAACCAGTGATTTGAACGATCCTACCAAATTTAGGCTAATCTCTGTAGTGCCAGCGATAAGGAAGATGGTCGAGCGTATTGTTCATCATCAACTAAGTTCATATTTTAAAGAGCATGATTTCTTTTCGCATGCACAACACGGATATCGTGCGAATTTTTCAACAGAGACCGCACTTACTGTAGTGACTGATAAATTACCGCGATGGATGCTGGTGAGATCGCTTTGCTTTTTTGATAGATCTGTCAAAATGTTTTAACGTTGTGGACCACCAGCTTCTCTTATCCAAGCTTAAGATATGCAATATCGACACGAAATGGTTTGAAAGCTACCTTTGCGGGCATACCCAACAGGTTCAGGTCAGATATCCTTCAGGGCATACGGTGCGCTCTCGTAGTCTTCCGAACGGGATGGGGGTGTTTTAGGGTACCGCCCTCGGGCCGCTCCTACATTCCATTTTCTCGAACGATCTAGCGTTATATTCAGAAGGCGCTACAGTGATACAATATGCCGATGACACACAGATTTTGGTTGCTGTAAAGAAAAGTGTAACGCAACAGCTTGTCGCAAACATGGAGAGTACCTTGTCAATTGCATTGGACTGGTTTAACAACCACTCTATGAAAGTAAATGCAACAAAAACACAGTTAGTGGTTTTCGGGACGAAGGCTATGCTGGGTTATATGCCTCCCGTGCATGTCATGTTCGGGTCAGCTATCATCACTGAAAGCAGTACTGTCAAAAACCTTGGTGTGGTGATGGACAGAAATCTCCCATTTGTACCGCACATTGATCAGCTTGTTGCCAGGTCGACGGGCGCTCTGATGGCCCTGTCCCATGCCAAACATGTACTCCCAAGAGATACCCTCGTTCGCATTGTCGGAACTCTAGTTCTTTCCTCCATTAGATACTGTATAGCACTATATGGTACTCACGGAGCCACCCAGTTCCATCGCGTGCAAAAACTCGTGGACTTCTGTGCGTGGGTTGTGAGCGGAAGGAGAAGGCGTGACCATATATCGGATGTTGTCAGGGATCTACAATGGCTTAGTGCTGATCAGCTCGTCAGACACCACATGTTGTGCCTGCTCAAAAAGGTCTTACTCGCGGGTCAGCTACCAGATATGGCCGCGATGTTCACACGTGCTGAGCGCACTCATGAAATGCGACAGGCTAACCAGCTGAGGCGCCCCCGAGTGGTGAGCAACTCTGGCACTCGCCGATTTAGCTACAGAGCATCGGATTTGTTTATCTGCCTGCCGCCCGACTTGCGCAATGTTCAGAGTCTAGGCCGCTTCAAGCGCCAACTTATGGAGTTTCTAATGAGTGAGGCGAATGTTGGCACATGAGTGGGTGCGTGTGTGAGTTCGATTGTGTGATGCGACAATGTGAATGCAATAGTGCAATCACCGAGATGGTCCCTTGACCGATTTGTGATGTGTTAGGCTATTTTTACTAGGTTTCCAATTGTCTCTTTTATGCCCGTTTTTACCAATGATGACTTGTAACTTTTAAAAAGTCACTGAGTCTTGTGGAAAATTACGAAACATATGGGCATGAACTCTAGGGCTCTATCTTTATTCAACTACTTATATTTTTATTGGTCCTATATGTTGTGATGCGACTTCAGTTTTTCTTCCTTCCCGATTATCTTTAAAGACACCATCTATGGCTTAAAATAATGACCAGTTTCTTTGCAAGATGTTCCAACCGCCAATTTGCATTTCATTCATATATGAATTGGATTGATTCACCAGCCGCCAAAACATGTCTGATATGCACCCAAGAGTGAACAGTGCGAAGGGAATTAAGGTAAAAAATACATTCCGTGCCTTGCATTGTCTCCTTCATTCCCTACAGATTGTTCACTCTTGAGTGCATACCAGACATGTTGGGTGCCTGGTATATTGATGCAAATTAGGTATGAAGTGTATGCAAGTTCTCAGTTGGATTATGCTGCAGAGAAATTGTACAATATTTGAAAAGGAATGTTCCCCATTTAAATATAATGAGATAAGCGTCAGATATGATGCGAAAAGTTTGCTTGTAACTATTGGTAAACTTTCCAGGCTCAAAACCGAACCTAACTAGCAAAATTTCAAAGCTTGAAAAAGGCGCCTCATTACGCCATTGTTTGATGGCGTCATGGAGTGGTTTTGTGACGCCAGCAATACCTGGCACCATCTGGCAGCAAGAACTAAAGAATACGTAGAAACGCACGAAAGCTGACGCCAACCGCCATTCTCGTCGCGGGCGCTGTGTTGGGCGGTCGATTAGTGAATGGCTTGTCTGGGGATTTTTTGCCTCGGTATTGGTCGTAAGAAAAGCCTTGGCGGACTGTTTGTCATACGTATTGTACTGTCAACTTATCTCTGCCTGCAGTGCTGTAGTCCTGACATTGATATTATGTAATGTGCGCAGTAGTTACTAACTTGTGTAATTATAACGCAGGTGCATGCAAAAATCAATAAATCTGTAACGTTGCTGTGAATTGATTGCCAGAACATTGCTAATGCCGTGGCAAAGATGGTAGGGTTGAGGTACCATGCATGTTTTTCTTGCTTACGATTATTTATGTAATTACTAGTTAACCCTGATATCACCATTGTGGTGGAATAGCATTCTCGCTGATAATAGTCATTTAGCGTGGTTAAATGAGTTATTACCAGTTATTCATAATTACAAACTGTTGTCTCATAGGCTTCACATAAGCTTGTCAACCAATGCGGTACATTGTATAATGGCACGAGTTAACAGTGTCATCGTAACACTACCTCAATACTGTACTGTGGCATGACATACCAAACAATGGTGTAGTTTTTGTTCTGTAATCCCTGCTGCTTTCACGATAAATTCCATCGTGAAAAGATGGGTCAGGCATGTGTTCTTGTACAAACTCCGCATCTGACATATGAGTGACCAAAAACACATGATACAAAATACAAATCCCTTTCAGCATACCACACAACCAATAAGTGACATCACTTGCTTACCCTGTTTTGGAAATCCAAAAACAGGTGACAAAAATGCAATCATGTCTTCTGCTCCCACAGCTATGCAACATGCTACAGCCATCAGACTGCTTCACTTAACACGCGCTCGGGTAGGGGTCAAATTGACCCCTCCGAGGGTTTTCCCAAAATGACTTCCGAACGGCGCGGTGAAGCCGCGCCAAATTTTGCACAGCTGTAGACAATTTAATAACAAAATGTGTGACAATAAACATTTAGAAGTACCTTGTAAGGTCCCTGACCTATGGTAAGTAGGAGTCAGGTCATGGTTCCAGCGCAGGCACGTTCTAGAGAATAGTTCAATCCGACCAAACAACGGAGCGTTAGACGAATCCATACATCACTGAGATCTTTTCTTAGGCAACACAACAGTTGAATAAACAAAAAGCATTGACCTAGGGTCAGGTATGAATGTCAGACCAAGGTAATACCAAACTGTTTTATTACTCTAGAGCTTGCTCTATGGGCTGGTTTCTGGTGCTCATTTCGAACATATTGATGGCAGGGACCGTATTATACATCTTCCGTGGACTTCATATAAGTCAGAATAGGTCACTGACCTAAAATGACCCAGGTCAACATTTTGTTTTAGGAACATACTGCCTAGCGTAATCTTTGTCGCTTATCCAAATGCACAATTCAAAACCCTTTTGTATCATTCTGCTCATCATGACTTTAAAAAGTCAAACAAGTTCACTAACCTTTACTGAGCGTGTGGTACTTTGCTTGGAACCATTGCTTAGGTTATAGGGGTCCTTTGGAGACAAATCTGGAATTTAACCTTGTTTGACCCTATCTGACCCGGAGGTCATGACCTAAGAACTTTAAACTTTGGCCTAAGTGAGTTCACGTACAGTTCAACACACGCTGTGAATTTCGTCTCTCTAGCGCTCTTCATTCCGGGGATCCCAGGGGTCAGATTGTCCCCCTCACCCAAGCATAGGTTGACCAACCGGTGACCCTGGCGCGTGTTGAAAGGTCAAACAAGGTCACTGACCCTTACTGAACGCGTGAAATTTTTCTTAAAACAGTTGCCTAGATTCTGGTGCTCTTTTGGACACCATTCTGGAATGTGACCTTGTTTGACCCTATTTGACCCGACGGTCATGACTTATGAACTTCAACCTTTGACCTAAGAAACTACGTACAGGTCAGACACTCTATGAATTTGGCGTGTCCAGCTCTTTTAGTTCCCGAGATCTCAGGGGGGGGGGGGGTCAAATTGACACCCCACCCGAGCGAAGGGTATCCAAACGGCTTCCCGGGCGCGTGTTAAAAATGCAGTTCACACAAGTAATCACACATGCATAACAAGAAAACATTCGATGTCGTGAAATGACACCGCGAATCGGCTGACCTTGCTCAATGCTGGAGGCATGACAGTGCATATAGATACGGTTAGATGGGCGAAATGCAAGGAAGTGATGAAGCTGCCGGTGCACACAAGGCACACGATAAAAATGCTATTAAGTGCTGTCCAAGAAACCAAACTGCAATACTTCTCCACTTTCCTCCGTACCCAGCATCTCACACAATTGAAATGCTCAGACCAAGCATGTGCATTAATGAGCCGCGCTGACCTGTCCCCACTGCCTAAATGAATTGCTAATATAATGGCATGCAAGGGATTCATTACATGGTGGAATATCTCAATGGGTTCAAAATTATGGCAAGATCATAATGAAACAGCAAATTGCCTTTGAGCACCCCTGAATCATAGATGCCAGTGTTTCTTTCAGTTTGACGCCAGCATAACTTTGTCATGTTAAATCGCAAACCTAGAGCAGGTATCAAACCATACCATTTTATTGGGATTTATTAGATTTAAAGAATACCAAAACAATGTTCTCTGTTAGAACTACAAGCCTTGCACGCACCCTTCCCATTACATCAAGATCAATACAAGCCATTGACACGTCTCATCAGCGATCACACCCATTTGAAACGCCTGATTTACACTCGAATGTCAAATCAGTGTAATCCCATACTTGCATAACCCGCGGGGCTATCAAATCGCAGGTTTTCTTGCATATCCGCACAGGTTTTCGGTTACAACACCGCATTTCGCTTTGAGCTCCCTTCAAAAACAAAGTCCCAAAAGGGGTTCATAGTAACACAACTCAAGAGTTCACACTTGAAGGGCACAATTATTTTGTTCAAGATTTAAACTTGTCATTGGACATGTGACGAATATTTAGCAAAATCTATATATCTAAAATAACTGTAATATTTCTCCAATGTTACAATGTCTGGCTAACCCATAAAACCGTGCAGGGCACCTTACTCCGGTTTACAAGACGCTAACTGGGCTGTCTGTAAAAAATACGTCAGTAAAACAAAAGAAAACGTCAGTACGAGAAAAAGGTGGATTTGCCGTCGCCTCTTGTCTTTTTTATAACATTCGGAAGCGTGCCGTTCTTCGGTACTGCACTATCTTTGCAGACAGGGGCGGTGGTATTTTCTTATAATGCCCAGTTGACCACAAGTGCCAGAACAACCTGAAAGTGCTCGCCATTAAGCTCGTGACGCGCATTCACGGCGAATTTTTTTTTTACACAGCCAATCACCTTCCGCGGATTGTACCATGCGTGCCGCATCATCGCTCGTGTTCCCTAGTTATAACCTTTATAACCTCTATAACGACGATCGTATGACGTTCTATGACGTCATCCCTGCCAAGGTGACTTTCAAGTAGTCTCCCAATAAACTTTTTTCGCACTTTTGCAGGCCTTTAGCTCAGGAACCAGAGGGCTTCATGTCTTTTTGGTCTTCACTAGCCTTTCAGCATCAGTCATAACGTAAAAGGCATCCTTCATCGGCTGCTTCCCTGCGAATCATTGGCTGGTGTTCGATTCCGCGACCGTGCCGCTCCGACCGCCGACCTGAAGGTGGTGCAACTCAGAGCGTCAGCTTGTCGTCTGTACCAGGAAACTTTTTTGACCCTGCTAACCGTTCTGCTTGCAACCTAAACCCGTCTCAATGCGTGCTCCAGTGCCGCCGTCCCCGCCCCATCGGAAACGGTGCCGGGCCGAGCCGGCTTACGTGAGATCGGTGGACCAGCGGCCGGTTTGTGGTCGGGTCGCCTGGCTAGACATGGGTGCCCACTGCAGAGGGCGTTGCGTCAGGTGGGGCAGCGCCGCCGGAGGCAGCGTGACGGCCAACCGCGTCGCCCTCCCCACGGCCAAATAAAAGGCCGGCCGCACAGACATCAGGCACCAGTCACTCCCCAGCAGTGGTGTCCACCTCACATCGCCACGGAAAACATGAAGCTGGTGAGTGCGGTCCGGAAGATCGGTGCTTCACATGAGCGTTGCCTGTTGTATTCCAGCGGCGTCCGTACTGTCAGTTAGGGCGACACAGAAGGTCCTGCAAATAGGGTTGTTGATCATCTTCCATTACTTCTGCGTCCGAAAAGTCCAAAGGTATTTAGTTCTAGTGCCCTTTTTATTCCTTGCGAAATGCCACGTCGCCGGTTGTCGCTGTCAGGCGCTGCACATATTCCACAACTATCCCTTGATCACTACATCCACTGATGAGAGAAACTGACTTGACGAAGGCGCTGAACCACGTCTTATCACGGTAAAAAGGTGCGTCGTGATTTCAACCTCTGCATGCACCGCTGGGTCGGCACCTCCTCTGACGTCAGCTGGGTGTGTTTCCAGTTGATCGTAGCCTCGCTGGCGGCTCTGGCCTGCGCTGATGGCCCGCGGGCCGCAGCCGGCGCGCGCCTCCTACCAGCGGCCGGCGGCCCCCGGCACCAGCCTCCTACCAGCAGCCGGACGGCTACAGCCAGCCCTTCGCCATCCTCAGCGAGGAGAACGTCCACCCGGGCGACGGCACCTACCAGTTCAGCTTCCAGACCGAGAACGGCATCTCACGTAACGAGAACGGCAGCCCCAAGGACGGCTACGGCAAATCCGAGTACGGCCAGCCCACCGGCGGCTACGTCCAGCAGGGCGGCTGGAGCTACAGCGACGGCTACGACCACCCCATCCAGGTGACGTTTGTTGCCGACGAGAACGGCTACCCAGCCGTCTAGCGACATCCTGGCCGACGCCGGTGCCGACCGAGTACCCGCTGCCGATCGTGCCACAGGTGTACCAGGGCGAGCAGAGCTATGGCTCTGCCCCAGCACCACGCTCCCGCCCGCTACAGCGCTCCGGCTCCTGCTCCCCGGGAGTACAACGCTCCCGCTCCTGCGGCTGCTGCTCCAGCTTCTCGGCAGTACAGTGCTCCCGCTCCTGCTCCTGCTCCCAGGCAGTACAGCGCTCCCGCTCCTGTCCCCAGGCAGTACAATGCTCCTGCTCCGGCTCCTGCTCGTTATAGTGCTCCTGCCCCCGCCCGCAACTACTAAACGGATGGACGGCGAGCGCTGGGAGTAGTGCATATGCGTGTGCGAGGCTGTGAGGCGCATGAGTGATATATTTATCCGTCTGTATTGCTAAGAAATACAGCCGCACGTAAAATAAACCGTTTTCACCGCACTCTTATGATCATTTGTACCTGCGACAAACGATGCCAACGATGTAAATGGCCAGCAGCATGATGGACCGACCAGGCAACCTTTCAACTGAATAGCTCACATCCCCACCAGATCCCTGACCTGGCTGCCAGGAGCTCACAGAAGAGGGATCGACAACGCCGGGCTGCTAGTCAGGTCGCACGGCACGGTCCGGGGTGCCGTGAAACGTCCCTGATCTTTTGAAAGGTAGCGCTCAAATCGTCGTTTTGGGAGCGCTGCTTCATTGGATTGTTTTTCTTGTGATGAGAATATCTGCACTGCAATTGAAACGTTTCAGATCCAGGAGCTGTCCACACCAATGCACACAAAGCTTGTGTTAGTAGTTACTCAGCAGCCCAAGTGAAAGCGGCTCCGGTTTATAGTCGACTACGGTGATGATTCTTGAGTGGGACAAAAACTACCTCCGCACTTGGCGGGGGAGGGACTTTGGAACATCCCAGTGACATGACCGATCCTAAATCGGGATTCACCTAACCAACCCTGAAATTTCGGTTTCCCCTTGGACTTATGCCAATTTCACTTTACGGTCGGACGTAAAGCCACAAAACATGTAGCGAATATTATGTGAAATGTGGTGAGGCTAGGGCGGAGTTAGAATACTCGAGAGTGAGAGGTGTTGGGGTAGGATGGGCTGGGTTGTGGTATCTCTAATTTGAAGAGGGCAGCTTATGCGGGAAAGGTGGCGCTGCAACGGAATGTGCGCTGCATAACAATGGCTTTGTGCCAAAGGTTCCATTTTTCTATCACTGCTTTTTAGCGGTCTCTTGGCCCTTGCAAGAAGATTGGAAAGAACCTGGAGTTCTGTGACGCTTTGTTTGGACGCGCGAATGCTCGTGAGGTGGACAAGCGATTCCGCCTGAGCTGAACACGCGACTAAGTTGGACACGCGACGGCTCCTGTGCTTGGCTTATTGCTACTCCAGCGATGGGCTCAGCGACACCGGACTGAGCTACACACACGCTTCGTTCTGGTCACACTTAATGCGATACGTTTCACCGTTACCGCGATAGCCATTAGCTTTCAAAGTATATTTCTAATTCATATGTGCGTTCCGTTTGCGTAGCCATCTCCTTCAAAACAGGTATCTGCATACAGGTCTGTGTAAAAATACAGTTCAGCATACGACGTGGCATACTGCGATTAACTGCATGCTGCGTACTGCATTCTGCGATTAAGATCCGAAAGCTGCAGTCAGCAGGCAATGTGAAGCGTAAACGAAGGTCTCGGTATCAGTTGCTAACTATTCATTTTCGTACACATTTTGTGACAACACAAATTTGCTCAATGAGATATTCATGCATATACCACGTTGTTTTGCTGCTTTGCTAAGTGCGCATGTCAGTGACACAGCAGCATTTTTGAACAGCTTATTCTTACTAACCTTGCTTGTACGCACCATAACAAACAACAACGTAAATTTATGTTATGCTGTTGAATGATACGTCCCCGTAAGGACAGCAGACACAACATATAAGATCCCGAGATTGATATTCCAATACGAATATGGCGTTGTGGCTGTTGTGGCGCATTCGAATGTCGTGAAATAGAAAGTGTGGAACTGTCGAGTTCTAGTGGCTGTATGAATTGAAATATGTCTACGCTTTCCTAGAACTATATAATATTGGTGCCCACGTGCAATGTAATGAGCCAAGTAGACTTTCCACAACTGGAAATATCCAGGTTTCTTTACGCTTTGCCGGTGCCAAGCCATGAACTGATGCAGGCTATTTAAGAAGACCAAACCTTGGTCTTGCCAAGACGAGGAACAAGCGTGAAATCTCTGTACGTTTTAATTATGTGCTGTTTCAAATTTCAACCTCTCCTTTGTAATTTGCGTTCAAAAATCGGCACCCGGTGCTAAATAAGATGGCAATCAAATGGCATCTCGTTGGCACACGTTATCTACGTGTGAAAAATTACAGAATACTGGAAAATATGTACTGTACTTAACGTCAGATAAAATTTGTAGCAGTTTGTTTTTGCGAGTCAGATCGCTAGCTGGCCAGGGCGGGCCGGGATATGGGGGGACATTTTGCAAGAAAGTGACGTTTCTGAACCGTACCCACCGTCTTACGGTCGGAGCCAGGCGGACCTCTGCAGCTGGAGAATGCGGACATCACATACCGTGTACCCTGACAGGGTGTCAGGCCGTGTGTGACACCGCTCAAAAGAGCTCAGAGCCCTTCTGCCCGTTCGGGTCGAGAGTTACGTGTAACCCGAATACTACACAGCTTAGGGTTCGTGCTCAAGTAAATATACTTTCACACGATGTCCTTCCAACCGAGTACGAATACTAGTGAAAAAACCAATTTGCAGTTGCCACCAGGGGCAGAGAGCAGTTGAGAAGAACCCATCGCACCGTCATCTTCAATATCTTGTTGACCTTTCATTCACTGACCATTTTATCATACGTTAACCGAGCATTGCTGCGCAGTCAAAATTTATCACATCATCGCGTGGTTCTTTGTCCATCCGCCGCTGTTTGTGCAGTAAGTAACGCATCACTATAGGGGATATTTGCATTCATGACATACCGCGGCCACAAACGATGCCGAGAGCGAGGGTGAGCCGGCGACCACAGCAGTGCCAGTGAATGCTCATGTCACGCCGTGCTATACTCCTTCTTCTCAAGAGCAGGAAAACTTGCAAAAATGCCGACAACTGTTCAATGGCAAGTTGTTCATTTATCGCCACAATCGGCTCTGTCTGCTATTGCGCTACGTTTTCCGAACACAGTGATATCTAGGTGTCTGTCCTGCCCGTGAGCGATGAACACGACAGGGTAGGCTGAAGAGCGCGTACTGCCGCCACGGAGTGGATGTCAGCCAGTGTACATTGTACGTAGCGGATGACGGTCGACCTCACTGGGATTAAGAGCCAAGTCAAAACTCAAGGCCGGCATGTTAAGGGCGCGCACAACGTCAGCCCGTTCATGGCATCATCAAACACACGCAATTGGCCATACCCACGCAGCTCGCGTAATTGGCGTGTTAAGTGCCATAACGCTATTCCTCTCTGTATTTGGTCTTTCCATCTGGCTAAAAGTGGCGAAGAATTGACTAAGTGTTTCATCGTGCTTGTAGGCACTGTTGGGCCACGCCGTGGCTACGTGTGTTTTTAAAACATGCACAGACAACGGCTCATTTTTGCATAATCGCTTCCAACATAGTTCAAGATCTTCACCAGCCTCTCAATATTAGTTACAACATCAAAGGCATCCGTCATCGGCTGCTTTCCTGCGAATCATCGGCTGGTGCTCGATTGCGCGGCCGTGCCGCTCCGACGCCAACCTGAAGGTGGTGCAACTCAGAGCGTCAGCCTGTCGCCTGTACCGGAGAACATTTTGACCTGCTAACCGTTCTGCTTGCAACCTGAACCTGCTTCTGTGCGTGCTCCGTGCCTCCGTCCCCGCGCTCTCGGAAGCGGCCCTGGGTCGGGCCGGCTCACGTGAGCTCGGTGGACCGGCGGCCGGTTGTGGTCGGGTCGCCTGGCTGGACGGGGGCGCCCACCAGTGAGCTAGAATTGCTTTTGAAGTAAGGTGGGAGTGAAAAATCCCATCGCAAAAAGACCGTCCTGGAGTGAAAAATCAATTCACAAAAGATGGAACTTATGAGCTAGTGACTGATGCTTCAGCAAACAGACATCTGTTTCAAGTTGACATGGTCGACACATAATATCATTAACTTGATAAAACTGTTCTGCTTAACACCTTAGGCCATTAAAGTGAAGCAGAATACATTAAAGCATAGCAACGTCATGGCAGTGTAATAAGCATACAAAATTCAGAAACACCAATAATTTGATGCTGCACTTTGCACTTCCCTTCCACAGCATTTTTAACATAAAACAAAACAAAAGAATTCAACAATAAAATAAAAACAGAAAATTTAACAAGGGCAAAGCGCTCAAACAAAAAAAAACTTGGACTCCTACACATCAGATCATCACCAAGTCAAACACAATACACATGCCTCTGGCTTCTGTTAAGACAGGGTCAGTGAAAACAAACATTTTGTCACTGTTTCTAACAAAATACCAATGCTTATTTCCATGAAAGTAGCCTAACCATGCCTAACCTAAAGAGGCCTTTCTTCATCTCATCCTGTCTAACCTGATGGTATCACAGCAGCAGTTGTGAGTTATTGATTCCTGCACAAGTCATATTGTCCTTGCCATGCACTTGACGTACTTAACCTAACTTAGAGTAGCCCATAGTTTGAACGTCATCTCAACTCACCTATCTGTTGACAGGAGCACTTATGATAAAAATATGATAAAGCTCATTTTTCGTCTGGTTCCAACATGTCTTTGTATCCGGTTCATTTTTGTATGTTTGTTGGCATCAAAGTTGACAACACACAAATCAAAACACTTCAAATCACTTTGAACAACTTATTCTGATTGCCATGGTTAACCTCTGTCAAGGGCAATAGTGGGTATGCTCCACAAAAACAATCGCTCTTCTCCAAAAGTAACATAACTTTTAGATGACCATGCCAGTTTTGCTGCTTGCCTTTTCAGCTGCAGCAAAGGCATCTATTTAGGCTTGTTTATTCATATTTAATGACAAAGTTGGAGATGCTGGCTTCACATTTTCAGTGGAATGGTCTATTTGCTTAATGCCGATATTTACCTCACATTTTAATTGCTATGCAGCTTAGAGTATTCCATGGTTACAAACATAGTGCATATATATATATATATATATATATATATATATATATATATATATATATATATATAGCAGTCATTTGCCAGTCAGCAGACCATGACAACAACGGAGAACGTCTGGTTAAAACAACCATGGGGGACCACTTCAAGAAATTTGGGACAAATAATCAAGAATATGGAACAAAATAACCCCACGGGGTGTCTTGTGGCATCATAATTTGTCTTAGACAAAATTAGATGGATTAAAACAGCAAATGGCTAGCTATGGTTACAAATAATGTGCTGAAAGCAGGTGAGGTAAGCAATTATTTGGTACACAGGAGACTTACTGGCTTTTTCAGGGCACTCTTCTCCCCTGGTCTCCCAAAACAAAAAGTCAGTACCGCAGTTTGCACACTTTGCTGACAGACAGAGCCATCCCGCTCACCCCCCAAATATAAATAGCAATCACGTCCACCAGCCTACGAAATTAAAATGCGAAACAAGTAAGATGTGCGCACACCAAACTTAAAGCGTGCAAGCGGCTTGAGTCGCTGGGGAGTCCTGGGTTTGAAGGTACCTGGCGCCCTTGCTCTGTGCATACATGGACATGATTCAGATTTAGGTGAGGCAGGACATAGCCATTCAGGTTTCCAGGTTCTGTGGAGCCTTGTTTATGTTTCCTGGTTTCAAGTGAGCTCGGTTTTGTATGACATCTGAAAACCTCAGAAAGGGAAACATGGGTTTGGCATGTGCGATTAGACAATGTCAGGCAGGAGTGAAAAATTCACATAAAATATGGGGAAAAGGAATGAGAAGTTCCTCCTCATAGGGTGCTGCTCTACACCGAAAGTCAGCAATTCTAGGACACTGGCGCCCACTGTAGAGGGCATTGCGTCAGATGGGGCAGCGCCGCCGGCGGCAAGCGTGACGGCCGACAGCGTCGCCCTCCCACGGGCCGAATAAAAGCCCGGTCGCACAGACACCAGGCACCAGTCACTCACCAGCAGTGGTGTCCATCTCACAACGCCACGGCAAACATGAAGCTGGTGAGTGCGGCCAGGGAGATCGGTGCTTCACATGAGGGATGCCTTTCGCATTCCAGCGGTGTCTATACTGTCAGTTAGGAGGCCAGGGAATGTCTTGTAGATAGGGTCTTTGATCATCTTTCATTTTTTTCCGTGTCCGACAAAGTCAAAGTGTGTTGCAAGAACGTGATTTGACACCCAAAAACTTTTGTAAGACACCCCATTGGCCAGAAGAAATCAGAACAGAAGTGCTGACGTAGGCTACAATTTCAACAGTCTGTGAAACAGTGTGAAAGGCCACGTCGCCAGTCAATGCGCTGTCAGGTGATACACATATTCAACAGCTGTCCCTTCCCTACCCTGCATCCACACCCAGAGACTGATGACAGAGGATGACCTGGCAAAGGTGCTAAACTGCATCTTGCCATGGTAAAATCATGCTTCGCGACCTGAACCCTTGTCTGCACCGTTGAGTCAGCATCCCCTCTGTCGTCAGCTGGGTGTGTTTCCAGTTGATCGTAGCCTCGCTGGCGGCTCTGGCCTGCGCTGATGGCCCGCGGCCGCAGCCGGCGCCCCGCCTCCTACCAGCGGCCGGCGGCCCCGGCACCAGCCTCCCACCAGCAGCCGGCGGCACCGGCCTCCTACCAGCAGCCGGCCGGCTACGGCCAGCCCTTCGCCATCCTCAGCGAGGAGAACGTCCACCCGAGCGACGGCACCTACCAGTTCAGCTTCCAGACCGAGAACGGCATCTCACGTAACGAGAACGGCAGCCCCAATGCCGGCTACGGCAAATCCGAGTACGGCCAGCCCACCGGCGGCTACGTCCAGCAGGGCGGCTGGAGCTACAGCGACGACTACGGCCACACCATCCAGGTGGCGTTTGTTGCCGACGAGAACGGCTACCAGCCGTCTAGCGACATCCTGCCGACCGCCGGTGCCGACCGAGTACCCGCTGCCGATCGTGCCGCAGGTGTACCAGGGCGAGCAGAGCTATGGCTCTGCCCAGCACCCGCTCCCGCCCGCTACAGCGCTCCGGCTCCTGCTCCCCGGCACTACAACGCTCCCGCTCCTGCGGCTCCTGCTCCCCGGCAGTACAACGCTTCCCGCTCCTGCGGCTGCTCCCAGGCAGTACAGCGCTCCCGCTCCTGCGGCTCCTGCTCCAGCTCCTCGGCAGTACAATGCTCCCGCTCCTGCTCCTGCTCCCAGGCAGTACAGCGCTCCTGCTTCTGCCCCCCAGGCAGTACAATGCTCCTGCTCCGGCTCCTGCTCGTTATAGTGCTCCTGCCCCCGCCCGCAAATACTAAGACGGATGGACGGCGAGTGCTTGGAATAGCACATATGCGTGTGCGAGGCTGTGAAACTGCACGAGTAATATATTTATGCGTCCGTATTGCTAAGAAATACAGGTGCATGTGAACTAAACTGTTTTCACCGCACGCTTATGCTCATTTGTTCCCGAGACAACGATGCCAACGATGTAAATGGCCAGCAGCATGATGGACCGACGAGGCAACCTTTCCATCGAATAGTTCACATCCCCCACCAGCTCCCTGACTTGGCTGCCAGGAGCCCACAGAAGAGGGATCGACAACGCCGGACTGCTAGTCAGGTCGCACGGCACGATCCGGAGTACCGTGAAACGTCCCTGGTCTTTTGAAAAATAGCGCTCAAATCGTCGCTTTGGGAGCGCTGCTTCATTGGATTGTTTTTCTTCTGATGAAAATATCTGCACTGCAATTGAAACGTTTCAGATTGAGGAGCTGTCCACATAAATGCATAACAAGTTTATTTTAGAATATACTCAGCAGGCCAGGTGAAAGTGGCTTCGGTTTAGTTAACTACGGTGTGAGGATTCCTGGGTGGGACAGGAATTACCTCCGCGCTTGGCGGGGGGAGGGACATTGGGATATCCCAATGACACGACCGATCCCAAATCGGGATTCACCGAGCAAACTCTGAAATTTCGGTTTCCCATTAAACTTATGCCAATTTCACTTTGGGGTCGGGCGAAAAGCCACAAAACAAATAGCGAATATCATGCGAAATGAGGTGGGCTTAGGGCGGAGTTAGAACACTCGAGAGTGAAGGGTGCTGGGGTGGGACGAGCTGGGGTGCGGTATATGGTAATTTGAATAGGTAACTTAAGCGGGGAAGGTGGCGTGGCAACGGAGAGCGCTACACAACAATGCCTTCTGCCAAATTTTCCATGTTTTCTATCGCTACCTTTTAGGAGTCTTTGGCCCTTGCAAGCAGATTGGAGGGAACCTGGAGTTTTGTGACGCTTTGTTTGGACAAGCGACTGCTCCTGAGCTGGACAAGCGACTCCGCCTGAGCTGGACACCCCACTCCTCCAAAGCTGGACCACGCGACTGCTCCTGAGCTGGACAAAAGAATCATCCTGAGCTGGACAAGCCACTCCTCCTGAGCTGAACACGCGACTAAGTTGGACACGCGACGGCTCCTGTGCTCGACTTCTTGCTGCTTCAGCGATGGGCTCAGCGACACTGGACTGAGCTACGCATGCGTTTGTTCTGGTCACACTTGATGCTACGCGCTTCACCGTTACTGCGATGGTCATTAGTTTTCGACTTACATTTCTAATAAACATGTGCGTTTTGTTACTTTTCCAGTTCTTTCAAAATAGGTATCTGCAAACAGATCTCTGTACAAAATACAGTTCAGCATATGACGTAGATTTTGCTCTGATTAAGATCCAAAGGCTGCAGTCAGCAGGATATGTTAATCATAAACGGAGGTCTAGATATCAGTTGCTGAATAGTTATTTTCGTTAACATCTTGTACCAACACAAAGCTGCTAAATGAGATATTGATAAATGTACCATGTTGTTTTGCAGCATTGCGTTGCAAGTGCGCATGTCAGTGACACAGCAGCATTTTTAAACAGCTTATTCTTACTAACCTTGCTTGTACGCAGCACAACAAACAAGCAGGTACATTTATTTTATACTATTGAACGATGCGTCCCTCTCAGGACAGCAGACACAACATATAAGATCCCGAGTTTGACACTCCAATACGACTATGGCATCGCCGCTGTTGTGGCGCATTCGAAGGTTGTGAAATAGGAGTAAAACTTTCGAGTTCCATTGGCTGTATGGGATGAAATATGCCTGAACTTTCCTAAAACTATATAATATTGGTGTCCATGTGCAATGTAGTGAGCCAAGTAGACCTTCCGCAACTGGAAATATCCAGGTTTCTTTATGCTTTGCCGGTGCAAAGTCATGAGCTGATGCAGGCTATTTAAGAAGACCAAGCCATGGTCTTACCAATATGAGGTACAAGCGTGAAATCTCTGTACCTTTTATTTATGTGCTGTTTCAAATTTCAGCCTCTCCTTTGTACTTTGCCTTCAGAAATCGGCACAGCAGTGCTAAATAAGATGGCAATTAAATGACATGTTGCTCGCATCTTTTATCTACGTGTGAATAATCATAAAATGCCGGCAAAATATAGATTCTACGTCACTTCATGTCTGCTGGTTAACGCCGCGTCAGCTTTGTAGCACAGCCGGCTTTTGCGGGTCAGATCACTGGCTGCCGAGGGCGGGCCGGGATATGGGATGACATTTTGGAATAGAGTGACCTTACTGAATCGTACGCATCTTCCTGCGGTCGGAGCCAGGCGGACCTCTGCAGCTGGAGGATGCGGACATCACATACCGTGTACCCTGACAGGGTGTCAGGCCGTGTGACACCGATCAGAAGAGCTCGGAGCCCTTCCGCCCGTTCGGTCGAGAGCTTCGTGTACGTCGAACACTGCACGGCTTACGGCTGGGGCTCGAGTAAATATTCTTTCACACGATGGCCCTCCAATCAAGCACGAACACTAGTGAAAAACAAATTTGCATTTGCCACAAGGACCAGAAAGCAGTGAGGAGAACCGACCGTATCGTTGTCTTCAATATCCCGTTGATCTTTCATTCATTGACAACTCATCACACGTTAACCGAGCATTGCTGCACAGTCGAAATTTATCGCATCATCGCATAGTAATTTGTTTTTCCGTCGTTGTTCGAGGAGCGGCTAGCGCATCACCATAGAGCATATTTACATGTCATGGTAAACCGCGACCACAAACGATGGCGTTAGCGGGCGTGAGCCGGCGACCACAGCCGAGCCAGTGAGTGCTCATGCCACGCCGTGCTATGCTCCTTCTTCTCGAGAGCAGGAAACTTGCAAAAGTGCCGGCAACTGTTCAATGGCAGCTATTCGTGCATCATCACACCCGGCTCCGTCTACCATTGCGCCACGTTTTCCGAACACAGTGACATCTAAGTGTCTACCATACCCCTGTGTGTAATGAACACGACAGAGAAGCTGCAGAGCGCGCACGGCCGCTACGGAGCGGGATGTCAGGAGCCACTTTGTCGTGTGCACAGTGGATGGCGGTTGACCTTAATGGAATTACAAGCCATTCCATTACTCAAGGCCGGCATGCTAAGCGCACACACACTATCAGCTTTCTCATGGCAGGAAAAAGCACAAGCAATTGACTACACCCTCACAGTTCGCGTAATTCGCGTGTTCAATCCTGCCGGTATTTAGTCCCTTAATCTGGCTAAAGTTGCGGAGAACTGATCAAGTGTTTCATCGAATTTCTCCATGTCATGCTTGTAGGCACTTTCGGCGCACGCCGTGGTGGCGTGTGTTATTAAAATATGTACGGACAACAAGTCGTTTTGCATGGCCCGTTTCAAACATTGCTCAAGATCTCCCACCAACCTATCAGTATCCGTCACATCATAAAAGACATCTGACATCGGCCGTTTTATCTGCAAATCATCGGCTGGTGCCCGATTCCGCGACCGTGCCGCTCCGACGCCGACCTGAAAGTTACACGGTCTAGCACGTCAGCGTGTCGCCCGTACTACCGAGCAACGTGTTTTCTTCTCCCTCTTCTGCTTCCAACCTGAACCTGTTTCTGCGCGCGGTCCGTGCCGCCGCCCCCCCCCCCCCCCCCCTCCCGCCCTCTCGGAAGCGGCGCTGGGCCGGGCCGGCTCACGTGAGATCGGTGGACCACTCGAGTGGTTGTGGTCGGGTCGTCTGGCTAGGCGGGGGCGTCCGCTGCAGAGGGCGTTGCGTCAGGTGGGGCAGCGCCGCCGCGTCGCCCTCCCACGGCCAAATAAAAGCCCGGCCGCACAGACACCAGGCATCAGTCACTCTCCAGCAGTGGTGTCCATCTTGCAACGCCACGGGAAAACATGAAGCTGGTGAGTGCGGCCAGGGAGATCGGTGCTTCACATGAGGGATGCCTTTCGCATTCCAGCGGTGTCTGTGCTATCAGTTGGGGCGCTAGGGACGGTCTTTTAGACAAGGTCGTTGATCAGCGGTCATTTCTCTACGTGGCAGGCAAAGTCAAAGTGCCCTCAGCCTCAGCGCTTCAGTGCTTTTTATGACCGTTCCAAGTAGTCTACACGGGTAGGTATACAGACATTTTGATGAACCGCAAAAGTAGTCTGACTGCCTCAAGTTGGTCCACTTAAAAATCTAGCATTTCAGTTGACATCCCAAAACATTCGCACGATAACACATTGGCCAGAAGAGATCAGAACAGACGTGCGAACGTCAGGCTCTAATTTCAATAATCTCTGAATCAGTATAGAGCGCAATGTCGTCAGTCAACGCGCACAGATGCTGCACACATTCCATAGCTATCCCTTAATCCCTGCATCCACGGGCGGAGATCGATAACAAAGAGTGGTCTGGCAAAGGTGCTAAACTGCGTCTTGTCATGGTGAAATCATGCGTAGCAATCTCGACCCTTGCCGGCACCACTGGGTCGGCACCTCCTCTGACGTCAGCTGGGTGTGTTTCCAGCTGATCGTAGCCTCGCTGGCGGCTCTGGCCTGCGCTGATGGCCCGCGGCCGCAGCCGGCGCCCGCCTCCTACCAGCGGCCG